TATCTTAATGTACGGACTGAAAAATAGTCTGAATTGACGGCCGATTTGTATTTATTTTCGCAACCCGATGATTCATTGAGGTAGCAAATTTTTTGCACAAACCAACGTAGGTCTTTTAAAACTCGTACTCCCTAAAGGGAGTTCCGTCGAAGAATCATAGAGGGTGTTTTTTCCTAATTTTGCCGTAATCGAAACAAATAATGCGATTTTCATCTTCCCTTGTGGTTTGTATCAACTCAAAATAATTATTACGTGATCAGGTATAGGGACTGTTGAGTAGAACAGAATGCTTTACACAGTCTTACTGTAAATTCGTACATTTCTATGGCTCTTCTGTTCAGAACAACCACTCGTCCGATTCAATCATCGAAGGTAGTTTTGATATTGTGATAAGCCACTGTCTCCCTTATCAGGAGCTTATGAATCTTTTCCAGCCATTATCCCCCTTCGCTTATCCGCACTATCGTCAGCAGTCCCATTTTGGAAGGTTGTCATATTCTGCAACTGTTATCGACAGCAATTATTATAGGAAATCAATTATGAATTGAAATGAATTTTCTAGTTTTAAGGCGATACAATGAAACGAAATTAAAAATGTGTCACATGCACATCTATTATTCATGGATGAGATTATCTTACGTTAGTAATTTTCAGTGTTGTGTCTGTTGCGTATATATAATGACAAAAATTCTATGGCTATATCCAAATTAAATATACTGGCTATTGCATACCGACGACCATGATGTCTCTTTTTTATTTCAACTTTTAAGTCATTTTATTTCAAAAAACTTATCAACTCCTGAACTGAACTTATCACCTTTCTTCACGCTTCAAATATTTCGTGTTTTATCTTTTCGGTTCCAAAAAAACCCAATATGAAATGCAACGTTGGATTTGGTGTGATCCGAGCGATCAATTTTTCATCTTCCGTTCACATTCCATCGCTTCCTCATTAATAAATTGATTGCACAGGGAGTAATCTAAATTTAATATCATTAAGATGCGATTGAGCTCGAAGAGTGTTACAGTTCAAAGCATAATATTATGATATACTGCAAAATGGACCTCTCTACAAGGGCATCATCACTCGCTTCTATTAATAGATTCTTTAAAATTTCACGAATTTTAAAGTTAATAATAAAATGCGATAAAACTGATGAATATGGTTAAATTATTCAGATACACACCTAAATCAGGCTATTCAAAAGTGCACGGGAAGAAAGCGAAATATGGGCGGCGTATGGTCACCGCATTCAAATCACCGACTTCGTGAATCGAATAACGACGATGCACAACAGATGCTCAATTATTGTTATTTTCATAATGAGATTCGTTCGTTTCTTACAATTAGGATGACTCTCTTGATAACGATAGCATTAGGCAGCTTGCTCATTCAAGCACAACAAACGAGTTGGTTTCTCATTATCACTATCATCACATCCGTTCATTCTGAATCATGCTAAGCTCACCTCCTTTCCGTATCTATTTTCGGAATCTTTTTGCACACACATTTGATATTTATTGCCCTTTTATTCTATATGAACTGTAAAAATGAGTATTGAAATAGGTGCGGTATTGAATCACTCACAAATAAATGGTGACGATGATTCGATGACGTTTCGTGTGAACGATGAACAGCGTCTTTTCAAGTACATCTTGAGAGATTACGATGTATCGGTTAGACCGGTCGTGAAGGCATCCAGTGTTGTTAACGTTTATATGGGACTTACGCTTACGCATATTTTCAACATTGTTAGTTCATTGTGCATTTAATCGCTTATGACTATTATCCCAACTCAGGATACTGACACTGAACTCACTCAGTGATTGAACGCCATTATGATAGTGTATTTTAACTGGGATGTGTAAATGAGGTTAGTTGATGGCAACGTTTTCCTATTTTATGAGTATGATTAGCTCGTAAAAGTCTAACAGGGTTTTCGCTTGTTTTAGTAGGGTTCTCATTCTTTTCCTTGCTGCTCCAATCGCTCTCATCGCTTTTATCACCAGAAGCGTTCTCTTCTGCTAATTTCTCATTCATTTCATGTAACAATTAAACTCAATTTCTCATTCTATCAAATACACTCTGTAATTGATCATTCGATTGTCGAGCGTTGTTGAGCAATAATATTTTATTGCTGTATTGTTGATTTCGGCTGTCAACACTCGTCAACTTATCCAGTGAATAGTATATGCTACAGAATAAGAAACTGATTCGACCTGTGAAGTAAAACGAGACGAAGTGAATGAGAAAAACTCATCAAGAGAACGGTATTCGCATGTGATAGCTATGAGAGTGAATACAACACGTCTGAAAAGAATGAGAATTCATCTGAATCAATTTGAAGTGAGCGTGTAACAGACAATAGCTTTTCATGCAGTCATAATCGATTGCAATAATGAGCAGCACAACTTCTGATCATTAGCTATGATAGTTGTCATAGGGAATGAAATTACCCGTTTTGGGTAATTTGAGGGTGTTGGATGGGGGGAGGGGAAGGTAATGGAGGGGTTGGGAAAATAGTATTTTGTATAGTTGTTGATTATGACAGAACGCCATTGCAAAAAGTTATTGTTTCTTGAGATCGGAATAATTTGAGGAGATTTATGATGAGAGAAGGGGAGGAAAAGCATTTATGGAAGAGAGCACCACGTTACGATGGCTGATTGGAGCATGATCGGGAGGAATGTTCAGTTATTCTCATGCGAGGTGTTTATGCTGCCCTCCACGAATTGAATAAAATCCATCGTCGAAAGATACACATAAACATACATCCATCAAACTCTCAGCAAAAGGGATAAAATGCTTGCAAAAACGAAACAAAAACAAAAATTGCATCACACCGCTTCACTTATAATCCAATTTTCATTCACTCCCTTTTCATAAAAAGCGATTATTTAATCATTCATTGTGGTATTCTTTTGCACTTGTACTACTCGATTTTCGAATAAATGTCTAATGAAGTAGCAGTATGATGGAATGAATCTATTAATGAAGCATCACAAATGAGCCATTCTGAAGTCTCTTTTTGAATTGGCCCAAGTAATAAAAATTTCATAAACAATTGACACAGTTAAGGATGAACGCAGTCAAGTGTTGACGATGAATATTTGGGTGGAGCAAAATTGGAACGATGAACGAATTCGATGGAATCCACTGGATTTTGGTAATATTAGTAAACTGACGGTTGGGATACGCTATGTGTGGACACCGGATATCGTTTTGTATAACAAGTGAGCGATTGCTTGAGAGTTGAGACGATTAGTGTTTTGCGATGAAAATCTCACAAAGATTACTTCTCGTTCGTTTGCAAGCACTGTTAGTTCACTGAAATTCATTCAGAAATTCAAGCAGC